TAATTTTTTTGTTGTTTTTTAGATATCTAATTTATTATTTTTATTTTATAATCTTTTTTTCTTTTAATTTCTGTAATAATAATTTGTAAAATAAAATAAAAAAAAAGCAATGGTAGAAAAATAAAGAAATAGAAACTTAAGATAACGAGAATTTCATATATATATAAAAATCTGAAAAAAAATTGAAAATAAAATACAATTAGTTTTCTATATTTTTTTAAATTTACAAAATGAAATTTGGTAAATTATAAAAAAAAACATCAATTTTTTCAATTGCCACATTAATTATCTATTATATAACAAAAAGTTTTATATAATATAAATAATATTACCTTTTCACAATATTAGTATTAGTACAAAAAAAAAATAATAGAATTACATTTCAATTTGAATACTATTTAAATTGAGATACTAAAATAACTAATAATATTTATAGATTATATATTAAATATAAAGAAAATACCTAATATCTTGTTAATATTTGAATTAACAATCGTACATGTGTTGATTACTTTAAAATACATTTCGTATAACAAATAATTAAAATTTAATTGTATATAAAATTTAAAATTGTTTTTTTTTTTTTTTAAGTAAACGTGATGCATTTATTTCAGAAGAATTAATTTAAAATTTTAAGAAATTTTAAGGAGAATAAAAATTTAATACACAAAAACATTAATTGATATTTTTAAAAACATATTTTTTATACAAGAAATACAAGATATATGACATGGAATATATATTTCCAATAAAATTTCATTTATTCTTATGTAATCTTTAATTATATCTCGGATTATTTATAATATTTTTAATATAAATTTGCATAGTGGTGAATATAAACTTAAAATAAGCTAAAAATAGCAAAAGTAATATTTAAATCTTTCTTAATTTTGATAATTTTATTTAATTTCAATTTAATTCTTTCTCTATACAATTCTACAATTTGCTATAAAGCTAAAATAAATCCGAGTATAATTTGATTATTTAAAAAATTTACTGACGAGTAATTATTTTCTTTAAAATTACTTTTTATGAATAAAAAAATTGAATTATAAAATAAAAAATAAAATATTCTCTAGAACACCATAATAAAAATATGAATACAAAAATGAAAAGTTCCTAAAAATTTTATTTTACATTTTAAAATCTTATATTTGATCTAATATAGTAAATAAAAGTTCATACTAAATTATGCTATTATTTCAAATAAATTTCATGTAAAAAAAAATAATATTAAAAACATAAATAGTTAAAAATACAAGACGATTGCTACCATTGAACTCCAAAATGGAGAAAGACAATTTTCGTTAAATCCAAAAATTTTTGAATAAGAAATCTTTATTGTTTAATCAAAGATCAACATTTAATATTTAAAATTTTAGTAAATGGTTGACTTAAACTCGAATTTATACCTTATTTTTTTTGTATTCATATAAAATGCACCTTTACTTAAAAAAATTTTAATAATTTATAGTCAATAATAATTAATTAATAAAAGATTTTCAACAAAAAAAAAAAAAACACAACAGAATTTTTCTTCAATTATTTCATTTAAATTATTAGTAAGAAAGTTAAGTCTATATAAAAGAAAAATAAAATAAAAAGGTAAAATTGAAAATTTTGATAATTAATGTACCAACTTTTAAGTTAATTTAAAAATTCAAAATTTTTATTTAAATTTAAATAGGTTTTAATTTAATAATTAATTCGCAATTAAAATTTCTCTTTTAATTCTTTTTGTTTTTAAATTTTTTATTTGAAAATTTTTTGTTATAAAATATTGTTTGGCTTCTAAATATACAAATATACATACATTAAGTTGAATATCTAAAATTTATAAATTAATTTTAATTTAAAAAAGAAAAAATTAATTTATTGATCAAAATACAAAAAAATTAAAACAAAAATACAAAATTTAAATTTATAAAAGCCAAGCGCGTTGTTTTGTTTTTTAATTTTTTTTTTTTTAATAATTTTTTTTTTTTTCGTTTTTGATTCCTTGCTTAAAATAATGATTAATAGGTGCGTTTAAATTATTACATTTTAATTTTTTTTTTTTTTTTGGTATTTTTCTATTTTTAATAATTGTAGAATACAAAAAAAAAAATTAAATTATATAAAAACTTAAAAAGAAATTTCCCATTACAAATATAAGTTTTTTTTTTTATTTTTAAATTTTAAATCAAAAATTATTCAAAATAAAATATCAAAATTTTATAAAAAAAAAAAAAATACATACATAAATTTATTAAAAAACATTTTTTTTTATTTAATTTTAAATTTAATTTTAAATTTTACAGATCTAAGTTTTGCACGATTATAAAAGCTCATTTCTTATACTACATGCACATAAAAATTTTTTTGGTGAAAAAAAAAATATTTTGTTCAATATTAACGTTTGTAACATAAAATATAAAATATTTAATTATATATCAGTATACTCATAAGATATTTTTGATTTTTTTTAAATTATTAATTCAATTCAATTATTACAATATTTGAATTGAAATCATATGTCTGATATATTAAGTATAAATTATTTAAATATTCTTATAGAAATCTAATTATCGCCCAGGAGTAATTGAATATTAAAAATATAAATATTTTTAATTTTATTAATTAAACAAAAACGAAAAGCTCACTATTTTCTTATTTTTAATATTTAAGACTCTTAATTTGTTATTATCCAATTTTCTCTTATTTAATTATTTTCGAAAATTAAATTGATTGAAAAATTTGATTAAATTAAACTTAAACTGATTATGCCAAACAATGAAAAAAATTTCATTTTTATATAAGACACTAATTTAAACATTATTGTAAAACAAATATTTCTTTCAAATAGATTTTTAATTTTTGAATTAAATTGAAATAATCAGTATAGTTAATGGTTTGAGTTTAGACATTCGAATTATTCTTTCAAACTTCTAATTATTTCTTCAAACTTTAATACTCCTGAACAAATTAGATTATATTTTCTTGAATTATTCTTAATCTTTTTTTCTTATCTGATGAGCAACACTATTGCAATGTGATCTACATTATTTCATATTTTTATTTTTAAAATACTTAATACCCATTTCTCTTATAGGACGAAATATTTAAATTATAATGTAAGTACCATTGTCTAAAGTCTTAAGAGTTACACTAAATTTGTATTTATTAAGCAAGATTTATTTTTTAATTATTTTTATTTAATATTTATGTATTTGGATTATTAAATTAACAAACATTTTTTCATTGAAATTCTTATTATATATAATGATGTTAAGAGAAATGGTAAGAGTATTTTTTCTTTTATTTGCTTTATTTTTTAAAATTAACTACAAGTGAATTAATCAATCAAAACTAATACAAATTTTGGGCATATATGAAATTATATAAAATTAATCTTATTTTTCTTCTTAATTAATTTCTAATGTCTTTATCTCTTTATTATAATATTTTCTATTACATATTTTAGTTTTATAAAATTTCCCTTCTGCTATTCTAAATCTGGTTATACGGACTATTTTATTTTTATTTAAAATTTATTTAAATCACACTTATAGCATATTTGTGAAAAAAAAACCGTTTAGTTAGCTATATTAATTTAAAAAAGTTTTATATTTAATCATTAATATTCTTTTTCATATTCTATTCATTGCAATCTACATTAAAAAAATTTCACTTATTTATAAATATTGAACTATAATTTTAGGTAAGTTTTAATGGAAATTTCATAAAATTACATAATATGAAAAACTAGATTAGTTACATTCTGATAAATTTCATTTAGTTATATTCAGATGTTCTAAATTCAACTTATTTTTATTATTTTGGGAAAAAAATACATGAGAAATTCAAAAATCGTTATGTTATATATCTTAAAAATCGTTTATCCATAAAACTCATTAAATACTTTTACTTTAAAAAAACAAGTAAAATTATAATTATGATAAAATTTATTAAAAAAATTATGATAACAATTCTATCAAACCAAAAGTTCAAAAAATTTTTATAAGAAACTAATTGCAATTTTACTACTTTTGTAAAATTAGATTTAGAAAAAGTAAAATATTCAATAGGAGAGTTTTGATTAATTACAAAAAATTTAATAAGTGAATATCAATTAATATAAGAGAATGGTTTATAATAACAATATTCGAACAGTTTTTTATATTTCAAATATTCACTATTTTTTTTTATTATTTGTTTATATCTAAATCTTAGAAATTGATAAATTAAAAAAAATTGTTTTTATATAAATTTTTATTATGAATCAGACAATACATATGTATATAACGTACATATATAATTTTTGTTGTATTTTATATAAAGAGCAAAAAATCTTAACTAAGAAGAATATAAATGACAAATTTTATAATCAAATAAAGATGTTATTGTTTTCTTCTTATAAAAATAATACATTATAAATTAATAATAAAAAGAATAGAACAATTGTATAGAATACATTTATTTAGAAACAAAAATAAGAAAAAAAAAAAACATGTTACAATAAGCTTTTATAAAATTGGTAAAATTTAAAATCAAAGAAATTCTAAAATGTAAATTATTTCATATTATTTGCTTGATACTTTTATTATTATTTTATTAAAATATATTAAAAAAAAATATTATTTCAATTTAATGCTAAATTAATTTTAAATAAAAATCTCAGTCTACAATTACATATTTAATGATGTTACTTTCAGCATTTCTTTTATTAATCTTTTTATTTTTTCTTTGTTTCAATTATAATTATAGTTTATTAGTTTGATTTTTAAATTTTATTAAAAATTTTTTATTATACTTTTACTATACATTAATATAAATAGTAAATTATTAATGTTTTTAATAAGAATGAAGAAAAGAAAACATAATGAGTGTAACAATTTCTTCTTTCTATTACAATATTGTCAATTAAGCGAAAAACAAATATTTTAATTTTTTTTTTTTTTGTTTTGATTTATATATATTTATATAATATATAGGAAAATGAGAAATTATAGCTTTTAGAAACAAATAAGCTTTGTCTTCAATTATTTTATACAATATAAATTTTCTTATTTATTTAATTAAATTTTCATTTAAAGAAAATCAAAATGTTCATACTTTTGATTTTCTTTGAAAAATGTTATATTTTTTATTTTTGTTTTTCATTTTTTTTTTTTGCATTTTTAACACAAATTTACTTGTTGTTAAATTATTTAAGTATTATCATAATTTATTTTTAAACTTATCTAAGAACAGAAAAAAAAATATTTAAAATATAATACACATTTATTACATTAATTAATTAGAAAATTATTAATTTCAATTTGTTTCATTTTTTTTCTTTTTGTCTATTTGATTCCTTTTTGTAAATGATGGTGGGTGTATGATGGAAAATTAATAATTTTTTATCATTATCATATAATAAACTTTGAATTCGAATTAATTTTTTGCTTTTTTTCCTTTTTGTTTTATGATCTCCCAAAAGTTTATGAAATGTTAAGAAAAATAAAAATGATATTCTTTGTTTATTTGATTTTTTTGTGTTTAAGAAAATAAGTAATTTTTTAAGTGGAACAACAACTTTTATAGGCGGGTGCTTTATCTTGCCCTTTACGGTCAATGACAACACGTTCAGGATTTTCATTTGCTTCACGACCAGTAGTTTTATCCAATATTGATTCAGCTAATTCACAAAACGCTCTTTCAATATTTATATTCGCCTTTGCTGAAGTTTCCATGAAACGTATGCTATGCTCACGAGCAATCTAAAACGATTACGATAGTAAATTTTTTTATAGTTACGATAATAAAATAAGATAATTGTTTTTAATGATATTTCGTAGTTTTCTTCAAAATTGATAATGACTCATATGGTCATTATCACTTTTAAAGAAAATTTTCTTCGATATTTATTGAAGTATCGTATTGTGTGGAAACTATAAAATATTTTATATTATATTATCGTATGAAAGTAAAGAAAAAATTGCTATTTTCTAGTAATTTTATAAGATAATACTTGAAACTAATTTAAATAAGTATATAATTTAAATTGTTGAATGAAATTTTCTTAATCCATGTACTAATTTAATGTTAAAAAAAAATATTCGTGACATCATCAATGATATTTTTTCGAAGAATTATTTAGTTAATAGAAAAATTTATTATACTTATACAAGATCAAGAAAATAAAAAATTCCTAATTTAATTAGGTTAAGAAAAATCATCAAAATTTATTTTGTTTACAAACTGATTGAGTGTATAATAAATCATTACTTTAAATAATATTTATACAATTAAAGTAAAAAATTCTTCAAAAATCATATGAAATTGACGTGCTATACGATATAAGTAACAAACATATACGAGTATGATAGATTGATTTTAATATTTTCAAGGAAAATATCTATATTAATATCTTTGTTATTTCAATTGATTTTCAGTTGAGAATTTTCAATTCTTTATAGTCTACTTTATACACATATATATGTATGTATGTATGTTTGTACATGTAAATAATTATACTAGACACTATATACATTTTATTAACTAGGAATAAACAAAACAGAGCTTTTGAATATAATAAATAGAACATGTAGCATTGCGCAGCGTATTTATACAATTAATATGAGCAATATAACTTATGATGCGTAATGCGGTTATGTAAAAATAAAAAGAAAAAATATTTTATTTTTTCTTTTTTATGTTTTTGGTTTTTTGAATTTTTTTATAGTTTTGATATTTTAAATTATATCAAGTAATAAAGAATATTCTTTGTATTTCAGTATTGCTTATACATTAATTTATTATGTATGTTGTTTAACATATTTATGGTAATGTATTAATGGAATAAGAAAATTGCAACATTTTAATTTCTTAAAAAATTTTCAAATGATTTCATCGTGAACTTCTTATCTAATTTATTATATGTATATACAAAAAAAAATTGTTTTATGTATAGATAAAATTTAAAATTTATTTTTAGATTTTGTTTTTTATACCGTCACACCTTAAAATGTTTAGAATTATTTCAAATACCTACAATGTTTCTTTTAAAATACATTTGAAACTTTTATTTAATATAATAAATAAAATAACAACTTACCGCTTCACCTCTTTCTCTGCTAACTACACGTTTATCTGTTATATCGCATTTATTGCCCAATATCATTTTTTCTACATCTTCATTTGCATGCTCATCTATATTTCTCAGCCATTTCACTATATTTTCAAATGTTTTTTCATTTGTTATATCATAGACTAGCATTATACCCATGGCACCGCGGTAATCTTATAAAAATATATTAAAAATTTCAATAAATAATTTTAATAATATTGTTTTATTATACAAAACCTACATGATGTAGTGATAGTATGAAATCTTTCTTGACCCGCTGTATCCCATATTTGTAATTTAATCTTTTTACCACGTAATTCTACTGTTTTAATTTTAAAATCAATTCCTAAAAATAAAAAAGAAAGTTGTTTAGAAAATTTATAAGTTAGTTTTAATAATATTTATAAAACGAAAAAGTATTAAGTTCTCATAATGGTAATAGATTATTATAACGCTAGGCCAGTTGTCCTATAGAAAAGAGTCGTCTGTCAAGTGTTAAAGTGTTAGAATTTTAGAATTTTGAAAATTAATTATTTACCTACATTAAATATAAACCTACATATTAATTATTAAGTCAATATTACCTACCAAATTACTCCAACAAGTTACAAACAAGATTATGATAAATTGTTTTACATTGTCTACTAAATTATATATAAAATTGTCAAATATAAAAATATACATACCAGCATATGTAGGATCTATAAATTATATGCAAGATACTAAAATAAAACGATGCTATTTAGAGGTCATTTAATTTTTAAAGATTATTGGAAACATTAAATCATCAACAGATAACCTAAGTTGGAACAAATGTGAAAAAACAATTTTTGACTGAAAGAATTAATGTAATATGGGTACTTAAGTATATATTACATTAAATATTCCTATACACAAACTTTTGTATATATTATGTATATCTAAATGTCTACATTTAAGTATATACATAGTTATATGTGGGTGCAAATCATGTTAAGCTTTGCCGGTTAACTAATATAAAATTATAAAATTAATTTCGGAACTTCTTTTTCAACTAATCAATTAAATTAAAAATATTTGGAACAAAATTACTTATTTTAGCAATTTTTCTTTCTTTTAATTATATGCTAATTAATTAGCGGCTTATGCCTCTCCTTAAATCGATTCAACAGGAGATAAATAACCCCTACTACCTACAATTACAAAGTAAAGAATTGGAAAATAAGTATCCAACCATTGTCGACAACAAAAAGAAAAAAAACAAAAAAAAAAAGTAAATCATAGACTAAATGTTTTTTACCATCTTTGGAATGAAATTACAGAAAAAAAAATTATTCTGATTCAGAATATAAAATTTCTATGTAGATAAAGTTCTTCAATTGTTCGCCTTTACCCCTCAATAACCTATCAGTTTCAGTTCAATTAACACAAAAAAAAAAGTATACTTTCCTTATGAATAATTTTTACTTACCGATTGTGGATATAAATGTTGATGTGAATGCATCATCTGAAAATCTAAATAATATACAAGTTTTACCAACACCAGAATCACCAATCAATAATAATTTAAATAATAAATCGTAAGTTTTTTTCGCCATTATTTAATTTAAAAATTATTTTTAATTTGGTTATTAGGAGGATTACTTTAAATTAAAAAAAAAAACTAGAATTTTATTACGCTCTACTTGTCAAAAAAACAAAAGAGTAATGTCATGTCAGAAAATCATGTGAGCCAACATAAAAGATTTGTGATCAAAAAAAATTTATTTCGATTTTTTTTTATTAGAATCGATTCTTATTAAATGACAGTGACATTTTATATAAAAGCATTGCCAAATGTTATGACATTTTGTTTTATCATAATAATAACGGTATGAAGTTTTCAAAAAAATTTTAAATTGAAATAATTTAAGATTTTTTTGCGAATTACCAAAAAAAAACAAAAACTAGCCAATAAAGAAAAAGTGTGCTCGTATTTTTCACATTTTTAAGAAACGTCTTAATTTATTTTCCTTAATGATTTTTTCCTTAAATTTTTAACATTTTCATACAACTGAGTCGATTCAAAGAGATATAACATTATAAATTGTATTTTAGACTATATAAATTTTAATAAATTATAAAAACTTAATTAAACATAATCGTAATATAAACTTGAATTAAGTAAATATTCCAGTTATTATGCTTAAGCAAAATATGAAGGTAGCAATGAAAGCAAATATAATTATGTATATATACATAATATATGTATATATGTAAATAAACACATGTCATATTTTATGATTTTTATATTTCATATACATAAACTGTATTTTTATCTACACTTAGAACAGGTTTGTAACCAGTTCAATTAACTTTTTTTTTCTTAACTGTTCAAGTGCATTTTAATTTTCGGCAGATTATTATACCTAAATTTATGCATATTATATACCTGTTTTATTAAGCCATAATATCAAAACACACATTCATACGTTTTATTTGAATAACTCCATTCTCTTTATATTTTCCGTATATTGTATCAATAAAATAATATTGACATTAAGAATGGCTTTGGAATGGCCATCTTCAATGGTTTTAACATAACAACGAATTATTAAATTTTTTCACAATAAGGTAATATGCATGCCAGAGTTATAAAAATAATTTGAGAATTAAAAATAACATTAAATGATTATGAGAACATTATATATTCTGGAATAATGAATGAGAAGAATAGAGTTTCCACTAATTTTAATTTTTATAAAGATTTAGTTACAAACTTTGAGTACGATATATGTTAGTTAACAACTGATAATGTGGTTGTAGATTGAAATAAAATATTGCAATTTCTCAAAATTTTTATAATAATGCAGTTTTTTTTTGCTGAGTTGACTTACACGAGTTTTGATCTATAGCCACTTGCACACATATTATTACAAGTACATATATGTGAATCGTTATAGTTATAATTACTTAAATCACTAAAATCACGAAATATAGATTGCATGTAATTATAGCACATAATTTAGAACATATATAGATCAAAAATTATAAACCCTGAACTCTACTTAAAATACAAGTTGAACCTCACAAAAAATAAATCACAATATAGAATAATATAAATAAGGGAAAAATTTTAAGAGCTACGAGTATTCCTTTTAAGAATACTTACTTACAAGAATATTTAAGGCTTAAAAATATTTCAAGGTTTAAAAAGATTATCATCAATTCCTTTTAAGATTTTCTTCATTTTATTTTTTCAGAATTATTACAGCATTTATTATACAACATTTTAGAATGAACAAATATTTAAAAAGCTTTCTGTTTTAAAATAAAATGCGTATACTAACCTGTCACAATATTGTACTCGTAATACAATAATATAACACTTACCGTTATACTACTGTCAGATAAATTTAATATGAATGTATTCAGTATGAAAGCAGATACGAAATTTTTTTTTAATTCTAAAAAATATTTCGAGAGGAATAATTGAATTTTATAAATTGAAAATCAAAGTTTCAAAAATTTGAAAATTCAAAAATTTTATATTTGTTGCCATTATTAACCGTTTCATATTACGGTACGTACGACTAATAATGCGATTGATCTATTGAGAAAGTTGACCCATAGCTAATTTAAATTTTTGCAATACAGAACTAAGTTTACTAAGCATATATTTCTATTATGCGTACTAAAATCTTAACCCACCAAATTTTCCATTTGGCAACATTAATTATTTAATATTCCACATCTTATTTAATATTCTATCTCTATAGGTTTCAAAACCTCATGTTATAATTAATAATATGCCAATATTTTTAAATAAAAAAGAATGTTATTTTTCATATTATGCAAAGTAGTACGGTTTTCGTAGGTGTTCTGTAGGGAATTTAAATGTATGGTAATATAATCAGTAGGAAATTTATTTGGTTTTAATACTTAATTCAGTTCAAGTTTACGATAATTAAATACCACAGAGTATATACGAGTATGTCAAATATATATACACACAGTTTTAATTTACACCAAAAGTATAACTAGAATTGCGTTAAAAATTTTGTACATACATACATATTATATGTGTAGTTATTTAGTAGAATTTAAAAAAAAAAAATTCCCCCAATTATTATTATTTATCTTTATATACACGAACTTATAAAATAATAATTATAGCTTTATGCTAAAACAATTTTAATATATAATTTATGTATTTGTAACAATAAACGCAAATTATTAACAATGAATATTATCCAGAATATTTATAATATATGTACATACATACATACATAATATATATGATTCTACACATTTATTTAAAATCATATATTTTTTTAATTTTGTTTTTCATTATCATTAATGAAAGACCGGAACACATTTTAATATGTTTACATACATGTATAGGATATACGAGTATGACTAGTATATGAGACATTCATAATATTTATCACGTTCGTCACATAGATTCTGCTAATTAAAAAACAAAAAAAAATAAAAATACAATAGTTGTATTTCATCATTATTTAATAACTAAATATAAAATTTAATATGTTTTTTTAATTTTAAGCTTAGAAATACGTATATTAATTAATATTGTTTTATAATGATCGTATACAACTATTTAAATATAAAGTATAGGGTGGAGGGTCAATATATACCATTTAACCGAAGCCGAGTTATGTAGAGAATTGTATCAACATTAAAATCCATAAGAGTCCCATAAGAATACCAGTAGTTGATAGTAATTATCAGTATAAGTAATGCTAGAAAATAGTAAAATTTGTTGGAAAAAAATTTACTAAAATTTTAATTTTACATTTAACTATTTTGTTAATTAAAAAGAATTAATAACAAGCAATGAAAAAGGGTAAGGGTAAAAAGGAGCTCAATGAGGTTTAAAATGAGTCTATAAATTGTATTTATATACCTGTTATATTTGTAGAACTGTATATGTATAAGCAAAAATATAATAATTGCAAAATTTTCAATTCAACAAACAAACAAACATTCTCAGAAACGCAATAACTGAATGAGGAGCTCGAAAAAAACATGCCCCGCCCCCTCTAATCCTTATTTTTCTGGAATCATTCTATTACCCTGCTTCAGGAAAGCCATATAGAGTCTAATACACCCTGTGTATAACACATTTTACGTGTACACATTTGAAATTATTATGGACCAAAAAAATGATGAAAACAAAACAATAATAATAAAAATAATAAAATTTCCTTTTATGAATTGAAAACAAATTTTTATCAGATTATTACAGAAATTTCTGTACTAATCTAGGTCTAGATAATTATCATATACTCGTACATATATAGAAAAACCAAAACACATGTTTTTTTAATGGTTTTTCTACAATATTGCATATTTATTTAAAAATATAAAATATCACATGATTATAATCAAAAAACTTGTGTATAGATTTACAAAAAAAAATTTTATAGAAAATTTTTTATTTCATACAAGAAATTTAGTTAAATCAAACAAAAAGAAAACAAAAGTAAAACAGAAAAAAATTTAATGCAAAAAAAAAAAAAATATTTTTCAATTTCTTCACTTTCTTTTAAAAACTGGTTTACCCGGTCCTTAAAAACAATAATATTTTTATGGAATTTTTACTTTTATTTTTTTATGTCCAAAAATATTTCACATTATATTATATATACGAGTATTAAGAATTCCTTTTGAAACACATAACTCAAAATATTACGAGTATTATTTATGCATTCATGCCCATAGGTGTTAATTATATTAAAAACTTGAACACATATAGCACAATAATATACATAATATTTGATAAAAAATTAATTTAATAAAAAAAATGGAGGAAAATATTATATAATCGTTATTTGATTAAGTACACATATTTGCTAAAATTTCTTTTAAGAATGATAAACAAAGATTTTGAAAGCTCTTATCTTCAGTTTCATATTTTTCTCGCAAGGTTATTTTATTTTTAGAAATAATTACTTAATTAAAGTAAAATAAATATATTTGAAATTTTATTTTAATTTTTTATAGAATATTAAAGAATTATAAAAATAACATATATTAACATATACATATATAAAATCAATATATTGTTGACTCAGTTAATTTAATTAACCTAAATTATGCGGATTATATCAAAAACAAAATTAATGTAAAAATTTCGTAAGATAATTAATTGTGTTTATGGACTGCAAAATTTTCGATATTTTTGGACATGCAATATTTTGATTGCCGTTAAATAATATTAACGAATGGGTTTCATTTTTTTAAAGTACGAAAATATTACAAATATTAAAGTCAGAATTTAAATTTTAATTATGGTAATAAAATTATAATAAAAAAACAAATTATACAATATATTATAAAGGATGTTTTCGTTTTTCAGAGGTTGAAACTATATTAAATTATGTATAAAAGCACGCTCTAATTTCTTACCTAATTCAGGAAGAAAAAATTTTATAATCTAAGCGCTCTAGCTTAAAATCGAACACAACGTAATAGTGCTTAGTCTGTTTTTTAATAATTTTTGAAATTTTAAATTATTTATATACTATTATTTTACTATACTGAATTTATTTATACTATAAACTCCGTGAAATTTGAAAATTTTTTGAATCTGAAATGAACGCCTATAAATTTGAAAAACGAACATTTAAATTTACCAAGTTTACTACTTAACTCTATTTTTGTAGTTCGAATAAAGAAAATAATTAAAATAATTACAATTAAATAAACATTTTCACTTATTTTATAAAGAATCTTTTATAATAATGTATAATAAAATTTAACATAATAGTGGAAAACGTTTAAGTCTTACATAGTCCGACCCTTTATTTGAAATAATTTCGATAAATAAACCAATTTCTACAAAAATTATTTTATTTAAATGCAAAATTTTGTAATATTTTACAAACTGATTTAAATAAGTACACACTAATTGATTATTTACTTGTTTAATTAATTATTTTTCAAAAACATACACTATAATAAATTATGGGAAAAAATTTTTAAGTGCAAGTTTGTATAAAGTTTTAAAATCAAAACAATATTTTGAAAATAAATTTTTTATTTAAAAAAATTAAATATTTTTGATTTTATTCTTTTATATAATTTTATAAATATATTAATATCCTTGCAAATTACCATAAAATTACCATTACTTGTATTTTGAAAAAATAAACTTGATTTTACCATTTTACTTCGAAAAAAAAAAAACGAAATATGACAAAAAAATTTTAATTTCAAAACCTAACTTTAAATTTTTAATTTTTGTTTTCTACTTTTTCACTCCCAATCGGAGTATAGGACCGTAGCTCACACGTCATTATAAAGTTATACTTCAGTTTCTTAATTAATTATTGGGTTATAACTAGACAAGTGATACGAGTATTAGAGTGCCGTGAAATTTTTATATAGGATTAAATTAATTATAATAAATTTAAATTAACGAACTCTTAATATTTTAATTTAAATTCTAATTAAATCCATATAAATCAATTTAAAATATTTTTTAATTTTAATGAACCTATTCATGCAGGGGATGCAATTATTTAAAGTCACATAAATCATTTAATTTTCTCTATGATATAATAGACAGATTCCTTAATATAAAAATTAAAATTCAAATTTCAATTGAATTACATATACGAGTATATTAAAAAAAAAAACGAGAAAAAAAATAGAGTTGACCTTGTCAACTCTGTGATACCCGTACGAATTTGTTATCCTATGTGCAAATAAAGATGCCATAACTGACTAAGGGACACATTAATTTATGCAAAATTTCAATACTGTCTGTTTTTCAAAATACTGTGTGTGCCAAACTACTATTTAAGTTGTATGGCAGCTACCAGAAAAAGCTAAGAAATTTTAACAAATTTTATCAAAAACATTGGCCCTATATTCGCTTGTGTGAAATTTCAATACCATAACTTTTATAGTTTCTGAGATATAGCCAAATAACTTTTGAAGTTGTATGGCAGGTACCAGAAGGAGCCAAGTAATTTCAACGACTTTTATTATACACATTGGCCCTACTAGTGTATTCGTTTGTGTGAAATTTCAATACCATAGCTTATATAGTTTTTGAGATATAGCCAAATAACTTTTGAAGTTGTATGGCAGGTACCAGAAGGAGCCAAGTAATTTCAACGACTTTCATGAAACACATTGGCCCTACTAATATATTCATTTGTGTGAAATTTCAATACCATAGCTTTTATAGTTTCTGAGATATAGCCAAATAACTTTTGAAGTTGTATGGCAGGTACCAGAAGGAGCCAAGTAATTTCAACGACTTTCATGAAACACATTGGCCCTACTAATATATTCGTTTGTGTGAAATTTCAATACCACAACTTTTATAGTTTCTGAGATATAGCCAAATAAATTTTGAAGTTGTATGGCAGCTACCCGAACCGGTACCCCGATCATGTCCAATTTAAATAGGGTTCTGGCACTTACTACAATAAATCATTTGTGAAAATTTGGTGAACTTAGCTCAATTAGTTTTTGAGTTATCGTTGGGACGGACGGACGGACGGACGGACAGACAAAGCTAAATCAACTCAGAATTTGACGCTGATCAAAAACATACACTTGAGTCTATATCTAAGACCGTTATTTCTTAGCGTTACAAACGGTAAGGCAAATTTAGTATACCCTTCGAACATACGTTCGTACGGGTATAATGAAGTTGTTAATGAGAATCAATAAGAGTCCAACTCTTAATTTGGATTGCTTTTCCCATATAGAGCTTAAATTCTTTAATTACTTTATTTAGTATTTAAAATGCACTAAAATATCAAATGTATAAATTGATTAATTAAAAAAAAAAAAACTTAATAATTTTACATTAATATCAAGTTTCTATATATGTATATGTATTTATCTATATTTAAATTATACGATATTATGGAAAATATTCAACAAACATAGGCAAAAGAAGAGAAAATTTAGAAAATTCACTATCTATTGTTTTAAATAAATAATACAGCATTTATGTATGTACTTAAATTTTTTTTTTTTAATTATAATGTATTTTAATATTAATACAGAGAATAATTTACAATTACTATTTATAAAAATTATCGTATAGTATATTTATAGTATAACTTATAATTAAATTCTATACAATTATTTTTAAAATTTAATTGAAAATTTTAAATATAAATATGGTAAACGCAATTTTTATATATGACTATACTATATTAAATTTTTGATTTACATAGAAATTATAAATCTCAAAATTATATCAAAAATCAAAATTGGGAAAATTTATTGCTCATATTATATAATATTTTTAGTAATAATCTCTTGTTTCATAATTATAATATATTGAATATTTAAAATAGTTTTAATAATATAGTATTAAAATTCAACTTTGCAGAAATATTAAATTATATTCACGAAATATTTAATTATACCAAATTCAAATAAGAGAAATAATTCTTCTCATTTTATAAAATAATAATTCAACTAAATTATATAAATAATGCAAAATGCAAATCATTTCCATTATATAAATTATGTATAATAGTTAAATACATATATATAAATTAATATTTAATAAACATGGCTATATTTAAAAATTATTTTTTAAATATTCTTTTGTTTAATTCATTTTTGAAAAATAATCAAATCATAATTGGTTCTTATGAATAATATATACATATTTATTTTAATATCAATTAAAATCAATTATTTAAAAATTAAAAATAATTAATAATATTCATAGTTTAAATAGAAAATTTTATAAACACGCAACATGCTTAAATTTTTCAAATTAATTAGATTGCAGTGTGTATATTTAATAAAAACTGTATAAACTGTAGAGCAGTAGTTTCAAAAATGAAGATCTGCAATTAATCGAATGCAATTAATGAAAATCGTATTTTTAGTTCCCTAACTGACATAGCTTAAATATCAAAAAATATGGAGAATGTCGATCTTCTTTATAAAATTTTTAAATTATTTAAGAAATTTTAATTTCTCATAACATTTAAGAAAAATAAAATAATATGATACAACTTCAATTTAGTACTGGATCTGCATTTTCAATAATAATTTAACTAAAGATCAACATAAACTTTATACTATTACAAAACAAAAGATAAGTTGCTGCGTTTTCAGAAGAGTTTTTTTTTTATTTCTAATTTTTAAACAATTTTCTATACTAATATACACAATAGTGTCTTGGTCTAAATTATTTTATTGTAAAATTTAATCTGCACAGTCTGGACCTGGATAAAAGAAATTCGCATCAAACTATACGTCTTTTAATAATTTTTCTGTTTTTTAATTTTGTGATTTACATGCTAATAAACACATCGGTTTATAAACAAACACTCCCTATTAACTCAATAAATTTGTCGCATTTACCTGCCTTTTCCCTTATTTCAGGTCCTTTTACAACTAAAAAAAATACATATACTCGTAGGTAAGCTATGTTTTTCTGTTTCATTTAAAATTCAAATCTGACATTACAGGTGTCACACTTCCATAAATTTAGACAAACCTATTTATTTGAAAATTATTAGCACATTTTGTTTAAAATTCATGTCAATTTAATTTGATGAGTACAAAATTCGTTTAGAAGCAAAATTTGTGTTTATTAACTGAACTCGGATGTAAGTTGCAAAAAAAAAAAGTGCAATTTTAGTTATAAATGGGTCGGACTGCATTTCGCATATTTAATAAATAACTAAAGATTTTATTTGATTTCATCAAAAATTCATAATGTGCACGTACGCATGTAAAATAATTTTAGATAAAATTAAATAAAATTTACATTCAAATTTTCAAAATTGCATGTAGGTATTTTCTATAACCTCAGTTTTATATTAAAATTCACATAATATAAACATATTTAAATAAATTTACTAAAACTAAATTATTAATTAACATTAAATAATAAGAATACATAGTAATTATATAAAAATAATTATATTTATAATTAAAGTAAAAATAAATTATATTTAATAAACATTATATTTTAATTTGGATAGGCCAGCCATCCTGTTGCCTTTGGTTATACAAAATAAGAATAAAGAAATATAATATGTTATCTATAATTATATAATTTGAAAAAAAAACTATTATAAATTATTAAAACAGATAAAAGAAATACATTAAACTATAAAAAAAATAATTATTTCATTTATCACATTTTGTATATTCCCTGTAAGTGCTCAAAAATAATGGATGATTTCAAAAATGCTCTATTGCATAATGTGTCATAAATAATTTTAAATGTCAAATGCAAAACGTCAATATCGAAATATCAAATGTTTCAAAATAACGGTAAGATTTTTGAAATCATCCAATTATTATGAGCACAAAGTGCAATACTCTTATTTTTATAGTTTAATATTTAATTGCATTTTAAATATAATTTTAATTATATTTATAATATTATAAAAATATAATATTTTAATATGATTTTATATAACACTTGCAACAAGATGGCAATTGAAATTGATCTTTTTTAATAATACCATGTTCATTCATACTTAATAATTGTCTATATATATATTTTTGTTTACATTCAGTTCTATAACCATTTGGAAAATTTTCGGCCATTAAACATGGTTTACCAGGTTTAAGACATTCTTCAATTCGTATACCTTGTGTATAATTTTCATGATTAATAATAAAACTCCAATTATTATCTTTTGTCATACCAGCTTGTGGAAAAATTAAACGTTCAACACTTTGACATAATGTTTCTTCACCAAAATCAGGATCAATACGTTGTGATATTTCTGTTGGTATTTCAGGTAATGAATCTTCACCAAAAACTGCTTCAAATTTTGTTGAATCCTCTTGTATTGCTTTAATAACATCATCAATTGGATAATTATCAACTTGTGTACAAAATGAACTAGATACAATACCATTATTATCACTTTTACAGTGTGGTATAAAAGTTTTTTTATTTTGCTGATGTTGCTGCTGCTGTTGTTGTTGTATTATAGATGATGATAGTGATGTAGACGATAATTGTTGTTGTTGTAGTTGTTGTTGCTGTTGTTGTTGTAATTGATATTGTTGTAAAATCAAAGAACTTGCTGATGACAATGATGATGTTGGAAAATGTATAATACCAGCTGGTTTAGTTGGTTTATCTATTCTTGGTATATTATCTATATATGTTAAACCTATTGTTGGTGATAATGATGATTGTGATGATGATGTTGTTGTTGTTTTACGTACTAATGGCTCTAATTTACCATCCTTATTACGTTTAACATCAATTATAAATTTATTATCTAAATCATCATATGCATATGGTTGTATATTACCACTATTACTACCAATATTTGTTCTTGTTGTTATTAATTCATGATTATTATTAAGACGAGAATATTGATAATTATTATTTGGTGAATAAATTTGATCATTAAATCCATTTTGCTGTTGGCAATCAATAATAGTAATTAAAGAATTTATAATTAATATTATTGTTATTAAATTAAATTTGAATTGAATTTTAAAACGATTCATTATGTTTGTTTTTTTTTTAATTTTAATTATTAAAATTTTATTAATTACTCTATACAAATTTTTTAATTATGTTATTAATTTAAATATCAATGAATGTATTCACTTTATATATTGTTTTATTAAAATTTAATTAACTGTTAATTTTTTTTGCTCATTTATATATGTATATGTGTATTTATATTATAACATAGATATCTTAAATATTTTTGTATACACACACGAAAATATTATTTTTGCTATTTTTTTAACACTTTGTTTTTGTTTTTTAATATATTCGTAAATATAAACAATATTTGCAATTATTTAATAATTTTATTCACTATATAAATAACAAAAAAAATAATAAAGTAATTAAAATTTTAAATTAATTTTTAAATTATGCGATTTAATTAATATTGTACTAAAAATCACGCACACGTCCAATTATAAATTCGCTTTCAAAAAAAATTATTATTTATTTTTCATATTTTAGTAAAAACATCTTAACAATTTGAAGTTAAAATGAAAACTAAGAGGTTAAAACTTCAATTCAATCACCAAAGTAAACAGAAATGAGGTAGATATACAATATATATTCTTACATATGCATAAAGATATATATCGTAAATATTTATCATTATATATAGTATATATATATAGGAAGATGTATTATATATATGTATCTATGTATATAATTTCCATTTAAGTTCATATTTTTTGCCTGTGATAATAGATTTTTACCATATTTTCATTGTAATACCCATTTTACTAATAATAAGCATATTGTAAAATAATATTTTGAAAAAAGAAGCATAAGAATGTAAAGGTACATGTACTTGTTACAACAGTATAAATTTTTAATATCGAAAATTAAATCATATAACAAAAAAATTACCAGGTATATGTGATTATGTATACATTTGCATATTATATAGGTATACCATGCATATATCAGGTGTAGTGTACATGTATTTCTTAAGCATTGAAAAGGTACAGATATATTAGAGTAACCAACTGTATTATACTTCGAGAAATTATAACATTGTATTATCCCATAACTATGTATTTCTACTAATCTATTTACTGATCTACTAACATTTATTGCATATTTTAAAATATTATATTCCTTAAAGGGTAAAATTATTTTAAGTACCTATAATAAATGTTATTATTGAGCGGCGTTCTAATTAATGTTATTTTATGTAATTAAGATAAATTTATGTTAGCAATAACAATTAAGGTATTATTGTAAGGCAAACAATAAATTTTATTTTACGACACAATGAAAAGCCCATTTCGAAAATATTAAACGTCAAATATATTGAATTGTAAACACTTCTTTAAAGTTCACTTGTTTTAAATTTCAATCCATTTTTATGTTAATTCAAATTTTTTACTTAAGTATTTTAACCTTTATATGTCTATAATCTCTATAATAATTCTCTAATATTTCCTTATGATTTTATTAACAAAATTAAGAAAAACATTTTTTTTTTCAAAATTATAAAATATAATAAATTTAAAAGCAAAATTTATTAATGTATATTTATTTTTAAATCTGGCAACACTTAAAAATATTGTACTCGTACCTTCTAGGAGAAAATTTATGTACATAAAGTATTCTTTAAAAGTTTTAGTACATAATGAAATAAAAAAAAAACAAAAAAATATTATTAAAGTACGTCGAAAGAAGAAAAAGACAAAGAAAATAAAAAATAAAAGTAAGTAACCAATTTGAGTAAACAGGTGAACAAGTTTCACCTGTTCTAATGTAAACAAAATCGTGAACATAATTTTTTTGTTTCTTTTGCTTTTTTTCTCTCTCTCTCTTTTTTCTATTTTCTGTCAATATTTAAATTGGTTTTCAGTTGTCGCTTTCTTGATCTTGAATATAATGAGATAATAAATTAAAAATTCAATAAATTTTTGTTTTAATATTATAATAAAGTGACCATTTGAATTTATTTGTGGTGAAAATTCCCTGCTGGCTTCATTAATTTCTCAATCATTTTTCATTAAAATTGCAATACCCAGTTGATTTAATTAAGATACCATAAATTTTAAAATTTTTAATTTAAACTATAGTATTAATTCGAAGAGAGTACAAAATCTAATTTTTATGTTGTTGCCATATTATCCTTCTATAACCACTCTATATAATATCTTTTGTCATATTATCACTGGCAATACTAATTTTCTTTATTCAGTGTTATCAATATTCCATTTAAATCAAATTTGTTGTAAAAGAATTAAACTAAAATAATAGCAAACTATAGTATATTGTGTCCTACATTTACTTTATATACAACTGGTCTTTCTATTAATACAATATGATCAATTTAATAAAAGGTTTATACACACACATAATATACAAAGTAATCATGCTTGCTATAATTAATTGCTATTTGATGAATTTTTCTTTTCTCAATTTTTTCATCTTATATCAAAAAAAAAAAAAAAAATTTATTTCTTTTATTTTATTTTTTTATCTACATCTTAAAATCGGGATAAATCCGGATATTATAATTTATACTATTAAATAAAATATTTTGTATTTTGATATTCTGTTGTTTTAAAGCGCGTGTATACACAATATGTATGCAGACGATTAGAACGAATAAGCGATAATATTCCTTAACTAGTTCATATAAATATAAGCGCTTAATTTTATTTTGTGTCCTAAATTATTTCATTAATTTTTTATAGACAGCACAATAAAGCTTCAAATCTCCCGTTAAAAAAATTATCGCTAACGATTCTTGCAAACGGATCTAGTATAGTACGTGCGCTAGTATTATGAACTTCTCATTCCTATTAAAAAACTATGAATGAAAATTTCATTTAACAGAAAATTAACTTACTTGCGAGATTCTTAGGCATTAAAATATAATTTTACTTGTACAATTAAGTAATATGAAATTAGTAAAATGCAAATTATTAAAATATAAACCTGAAATGCTTAATATATTATTATAAGATTTAGTTTTCCACTTCCTTACTGCATAAGTGAAATGAGCGGAGATATGTCAATGTGTTTAATTTCCTTCGCGTAAGCGTAATGAATATGCTTACAAGTTGACGCATACAGACTGTACAAAACAAAAGAAAAATATTTTTAATTTCGAACATATTTTTTTTCCATAGTTCTCTTAATTTTTTATTAATCCATTTAGGTTTACTTATTATGCATATTAATAATAATCCATTTATGCATTTACTTATGCATATTAGCAGTTTTCTTTTTGTTTTAGCAAAATGTTCCTGTTTTTGCCATACCTGTAATTAAAGCCTACCAACTTTATAGTTTGTTGTGACGTTTCCATTGACAGTTGAACATTTTTTTTCAATTTCAATCAAATAAATGTTGATGTTTGTGTATGTAAAAGTGTATCAGACATTTTTAGTTAGTTGCCTTGTCAGATTTCTTTGACCGGCTTAATGCTTCAATTAAACTCATATTTCATTTCAACATCAGTCAGTCTTTCAATTCTGTCAGAGAAATTATTGATTAAAATATTTTTTAAAGGTTAGATGCGATTAAAAGTATCTATGAATTTTAATTTATAAAAATTGAAATTAATAATGAAGGTGATATACAAAATTCTTTTATTAACAATATTTGCTTTAACTGGCAGTGCTCAAACTCCGGTAAATAAGGATATTTTAGTTCTTTTGGATAATTTAGCAATCCGCGAAACACATTCCATCTTTTTCAAATCACTGCAAGGTAAGTTAAAAGCAATGACGTGTACAAAGCATGTTACCAAAACTCAAAATATTTTACAGATCGTGGATATAAATTGACTTTTAAGCTAGCTGATGATGCTTCTTTAGTTTTATCTAAGTATGGGGAATATTTATACCAAAACGTAATTATATTTGCACCTTCTGTTGAAGAATTCGGTGGTGATTTGAGCGTTGAAAAATTGACTCAATATGTTGATGATGGAGGAAATGTTTTAGTTGCGGGCAGCACAAATTCTGGCGATGCTCTTCGAGAATTTGCATCTGAATGTGGCTTTGAAGTTGATGAAGATGGTGCATCTGTTATTGATCATCTTAATTATGACATTTCTGATACTGGAGATCATACAACAATTTTAGCAAGTTCAAAAAATTTAATTAATTCTGAAATTATTGTTGGAAAACGTGATGTAAATCCTCTTCTATACAAAGGAACAGGTCTACTAGCTGATAAAGAAAATCCCTTAGTTTTACAATTGCTAACAGCAGAAAGTTCAGCATACAGTTACATTCCAGAAAATCCTATAAAAGAATATCCTCATGCTGTTGGTAAAGGGACATTATTGATTGCCGCTTTGCAAGCTCGTAATAATGCCAGAGTTGTTTTTTCCGGTTCATTGCATTTCTTTTCCGATGAAGCATTCACATCATCAGTTCAAAATGCCCAATCTTCAAAAGTTCATCCAAAATCAGGAAATCAAGATGTAGCAATATCTATAAGTAAATGGGTATTTGGTGAAACTGGAAGATTAAGAGTAGCAGCTGTTTCACATCACAAAGAAGGTGAAACAAAACCACCACAATCTTATACAATTACGGATCCGGTTGTGTACTCGATTTCAATTGAACAATTACTAGACGGCCAATGGAAACCTTATCAAGCAAATGACATTCAATTAGAATTCGTTCGCATCGATCCATTTGTAAGAACAACTTTGAAATCTGTTAGCAGTGGAAAATATGAAGCTAAGTTCAAGATTCCTGATGTTTACGGAGTATATCAGTTCAAGGTTGATTATGACCGAGTCGGTTTTACGCATCTATATAGCACAACTCAGGTCTGTTAATACAGATGCTTTTGTACTTTCACATTGAGATTTATTTTTAAATATTTTTTTGATTTAGGTTTCTGTTCGCCCATTGCAACATACTGAATATGAACGTTTTATACCGAGTGCTTATCCGTATTATACAAGTGCATTCTCTATGATGATTGGAGTATTCATCTTTTCATTTGTGTTTTTGCACTTTAAAGAAGATGTTGCAACAAAAGTAAAGGAAGAAAAGAAAACAAATTAAACATCGCAAAATTATATAAAATTCTTAATTTTTTATAAGTTTTGTGCCTATAAAGATTTCAGGAATAAACTGCATGTATGGGTACTACTAATTTAATTTCATAATGTGTGCATATTGATATTTAATATGCGATTTCTAAAAATTTAATAAAACGCTTTTTAAAGTATTTTTAAGTTTCAATTTATTTTAAATTTATTTTTTTTTTTAATTCTTCGCGTAGCTGCAACTTTTAATTTTTCACACATAATTCAATGTTATTTCGAATCTGAAATTTAACTTAAATAATATCTTTGGATTCTGACTATGTATGGATAATCCTACAAGTGTACATAATTATACTTAGCATAAAACAAACAAGTAGAAATGTTAATATTTTTGCTTTACCAAAACTTAACTACAAATTATTTGTAACTTTTTTAAAAAAGAGAGCTTCTCTACTGCCCAAAATAACTTACCCTGTTAAAATAAGAAAATTTATTACAAAATAAGTCTATTTAAGGTTGAATCAGACTTTACATAAATTCCCAAAGACTTGAAAGGTAAATTGTAACTCTGACGTCGGAGTTTTAATAATTCCGAACCGATATACAATACAAAAATTAGGAGTAGTTTCAATTAGGAACGTCACAACAAATCACTGAACAAATTAAACAATACGGTATTAATACACAATTCAGCTTGTGGTTTTAAATTGCTGAATTGTGCAATAATACAATTTTAGTGCATTTGGTATGTAAAGACTTTTCAAAGTAATTGCTGTCAAAAGTAAGATATTAAGAAATAAAATAAATCTAATGTGTAAAATGGTGATTTTAAATTGATAAATATAAAAATTTTTATCATTAGCTTTAATAGGCTCTAATCGTTCTAAAAATGGTAATTGATATGATATTTGTGTTTTTAAGTTTTAAGATTGTAAATGCACATGATGCTATTTGTTCATACACAGTTCAACATGTTGATCAACATGTCTGATTTACATATAATGCTGATCAACAATTACATATTTTGAAATTTGAATGTTTGTCTTGAAGTGAGATACCTACGTAATATGTACATAACATCTAAATATTTTGATTTTTCCAACTCAACCATGTTGATCAACATGCTAATGATTATCCACCTCTCTTTAAAATTTCAGTAATATGTATTTAATATTTGAGACGAAACCAAACAAGAAATATTACCGATTCAATCATATTTACATATTTTTGTAAAAGAATATTACTGTTGGTATCACTGAATTTAAAAAGTAAAAACAACGAAGATAAAACTGTAAAACGAAAAAAAAAATTACATATTTCATATTTTTTAAACGTCAATTTGACTCTTCTTGTTCTGTCTAAAAAAATATTCGAGGAGAAGTAATTGAGTAAAAAATTTCTGATTAAGAAAAATTTTTTTTTTTTGGGTGAATTTTAATACAGGAAAAAAAAATTCAATTTTAATTAAAAATGTAAAAAGTTCTTTAAATTAATATTTAAATAAAATTAATGTTGTTTTCTTAAAAATTTTTTAATTAATGAAGAAGAATATTTCGCAAAAACTATAAAATGAATTTTTGTATTCCATTTTTTTTCTTGTTAAGTTTTTGAAACATTTTTTAAAAGAATAAGAAAAAAAAAGTTTTATGTGTGTTTTTCTTCTATTTGTTTAATTTTATTTTTTTTTTTTTTGCATTTTAAGTATGTTTGTGTTGGTGTGAAGGTTTCAAGAACTTGTCATTCAGAATCAGAAGAAGAAGAAAAAAAGAAGCAAAAACAACAAAAAAAAAAACGAAAATCGATTGAGGATGAAGTGAATTTCATTCAATATAAATAAAAAAAAAGCAGGAAAAGAAATGATGAAGAAAAAAAAAATTGATAGTGATTTGAAAAATTTACTTATATAAAAAAAGAGAATTTTATTTTTTTTAGTTTTATTCTTGTTAAAAATTATAAATAGAAAAAAGTTACATGCATTCAAAATACATAAAATGAAAAATATGTAAAATTTGCTTTTCTATACATATACTTAAGTATTTTAAAGTAAATAAGCTATATAAAAAAAATTTAATTGAAATTTACATAAAAGAAAAAAAAATTTCTCAAAAGTTTTGTTCACAAAATTAATAAGGTGCCACACTTATAAGAAGAAAAAAAAAAAGAAAAACCAATTACAAAATAATTTTGCCATTTTTTTTTTTTAAATCCTAAAAATTTGCCTTTTGCTTATATACATACATATGTACATAATATGTACATACAAACCTAATATTTTCAACATAAAATATTAATGGGTAGCGCTTAGCTGCTCCTATACGGTCCTGCCTGCCTACCTTATTAAAAAAAAATATGCAATAAAATATTAAAAATAATTAAAATATGATTACATATTAAAAATAGCAATAAAACACAAAATATTTAGTTGTAAAAAGAAAAATAAATAAATTGAAAAAAGCAAATATCATAGAAAAAAAAAATTATTGATAAATTCCATAAAAGGCATTTAAAATAAAAAAAAAAAAAACATTCTCAAAATTGAATAATAACAAAAAAAAAGAAGAGAAAATAATAAGCAAGTTATTTTCAGTGTTGTTTTAAAATTTTGCAAGTTTTTTACGATCAAAAAAGGTGAGTTTTTTTGCAAAATAACAGAAAAATTGCATTTTATGTGTGCATTAAAAATTTCATTGAAGATGTTTTAACTAGTTTTACTTTTTTTCGTCTTTTCTTTTTTCTTTCTTCTTCTATTAAAATATTTTTTTTTATTTTCATAATGGAATTTACAATATTTAGGATCCCTAGTAATAATTCTATTACAGATTTAATTGTATATGGCAATACTTATGTTTACATATGTAGGTAATGCCTATTTAATGTCAGATGCATATTAATTTTGTTCAATATTAAAATTGCAATATAAAACGGATGCTATTTTATAACCTGGTTATATACATACGAGTACCTAGGAAGGTACTCGTATGTAATCTATTATTATTGACTACTTATAACTTTAATATTAATTTATTTAAAAATAAAATTTCCAATATTACTTATATATAGGTATACTTATATATTAAAATAGTTAATTCTATTTTGTAGATTATCTTGTATGCTAGTTTATTCAAAAGAAAATAGTTACATGTGCCTATATAGAAAAAAAAATTGCTGCATATGTAGGCATGTACGCGTTCTTGCGTTGCAAAAGAAACATTCCTGGATTTAATAAGATATTTTTGACCTATAATTTAATAGTCAAAGGAAACAATGTTCTATAACAAGAAATTTTCTATAATATTTTACTTGCTTATATTAAAAATTAATTAATAGTGTTTAGTTAAGGAGGTACTTTATTATTGTAATCTGTAATAGAAATATATAGATAGACCTATATTACATTAGTAGGTACGTATACTATAGATTTTAATACAGTAGTGTATGTAGGATATAGCTTCCTACTTCATTTGACACTTTAACGAAATTTTTATTAAATTTTGATATGCTAACCAGAAGGGGGCTAAATTAAAATTACATTTTAATTTAATTAATTTTGAATTTAGAATTATTATCATTCATTAATTTCTTAATCGAGTATACTATATACATATATCCACATAAGTATACATAAACGTATGCACTTATGTACATGTATATGCTTAAGTTTAAAGTTTATAGGTGTACTTAGCCATGCAAAATGCAATGAAAAAAGTTTAGCTCTAGTATTAATGTCGTAGTAAAATTTTAAAAACGACTGAATTATAAAGGAATTGCAGAATAATTGAAACACTTTAGGCCACTATAGGTATCTGCAGTTGAAGACAAATGAATGTCATAGTATAAACAAATTTGGTTGCCCAATATTTTAAAAGCATATTGGCTAGTAATACAGTTTTGACATGAAGTAAAAAAAGTAGTTTCTTTCCTACTGCGTAATTAAAAACAATTTTTAGTAATTTGTAATCCTGAAACATTGTATAAAATTTTTTATTCCACAATATGGATTACAGATACAATGTAATACTACATTAATAATGCATTTTGGATATCGGGGATAGCTACGATATTTAATTAGGTTCTATTAAATATTTTTTATATTTTTAATAGGTTCTATTAAATATTTGTAATTATTAAGTGTTATTCGCTTATAAGTATATTTAAAATTGTACTTATTCCTACGTAATGTGCATAATTAAATAGAATTTAATGAAACATTTTTAATTAAGTATAATAACCAATACTTACATAAGCAATAAAACTAAACTAATTATAAAAGTACACTTCTTTTTTTATAAGTTTCTAAGAGTATGTTGCATAATTTATAATTGGTTGTAATAAAATTTAATTGAAATGGGCGTTGGGTGTTAATTATGTACATAGTAGGTACCTACCAACTTTAACTACGTTTTCAACCTACATAATTTATTTATTTACCGTACTTAACTAATAATTTTTATTATTATTTTCATATTCTTGCTTATTTTGTATTTTCAAAGATTTTCATTTAATTTTTTATAATCAATAATAAAAGTATTTAGACCTTTCTTTTGACTCTTTGAAAAAATTTTTATAAGGTTTCACACAATTTTATTCCTTTATTTTTTGTTGTAATTTTTTTCTGTGTTTTCGTTTTTTTATTGAAAACATCATAAGTATTTAAATAATATTTTCTCACTTCATTTCTTATTTTACATACTTTTTATTTATTTCTTTTATGTTTTTTATGAAATTTTCAAGCAAATTTCTTTACCTTGAACTGTTTTTAATTCTGAAAGACAAAGAAAATATTTGAACAACAAACATTGAACAAATTGTAATTTTATCATTGTAGAAAAAATAAAAATCGAAAAAAAAAATATAGAATATTTTCTTAACATAAGTAGGTACTTAAGTACTTACATACCTACCTACCTATTTGAAAATAAGATCGAAATGCAATTTTTATTGATTTAAAAAAAAATAAGAAAGAAAGAAGAAAAAAATATATACTTAAATGGAACACTTAAGTTGTGGAAAAAAACTATAATATTTTTTATTGCATACTGATCCGATGAACATTAAAAAAATAAGTAGTAAAATTTCGATGCAAATATTGTATTGCATTTGATTAATAAATATGGAGCAAAGTGTGAATATACGAGTATGTAGCTATGGCTAATAAAAATATAGCTATAGTGAAAATCTCATTGTCAATATTATTTAAGGTCGGAGATTATTAATTACTTATAGGATATAGAGGGTATTAATATTATAGACAATTATTAAGTCCTTATAATAAAAAAAAATAGGTCAAGTTATTTATTAAAAATGAAATGGGATCAGGAAGTAAAATGAATTTGTCGAATTATATTTAAAATTTTTAAAATAGAATAAAATATTTTAGTTGTTTTACTGCTTATATTTTAATTGTTGAAAAAAATCCTTTATTTTCGAAGGAGTTTGAAAAATTGCCTTGAATATCTTTACATTCAAATGTCTTTATATTTAAAGCTATATTTTCTTTATAACACTATATACGAGTATATATAATGCTATAAGTATTAGATTTTATTTAATACCCAGTAAGCAGCAGATGAAATATCGATCATATCAATCAAGAAATATCTAAAATCTCAAACCATTTTTCGATTTGTAGGAAACATCAGTTCCATTTTAATTTTTTTACTAATATACTTAATTTAATTAATAATTTAATATAAATGTAAAATGAATAAGCTATTAATAAAATTAATAAAATAGTTAGGTTCACGTTTTTCCGTTCTCTAAAAATTTGTAGCCCAAACTTTATATAGCCTGTTTTGCGATTGTATTGATATTTGACGTTGGAAATTTTTGTATAACGAACTGAACAGCAATAAAATCGCCACACTTATAAAAAACAAGTACTCCCGTCTTTAAGTTCAATGTTTCAATCAAAATCATTTCAAACATGTTGTATGTTCATAAAAACATAAATCAAACATAATTTTTTTATCAGAATATTTTGTTAAATAAGAATGTAACAAAATACAACAAATTCATATAATTGTAATTAAGTAGATACATTGGAAATTTTTCGGATTGAACAAAAATTGATTTAGGATTTCAGATTTTATGTTTTTTTGTTTTAAACATTGCTACGCGTCAAAAAAAATTATGGCGGAATCAAACGATGTAATGTACTTCTGTTCCTTCTCGACTCGACTGGCGACGAATTAACTCGGATTTCCGAGACTTTATGCTTAACATTATTGTTCTATTATGATTTAAACCATGGGTTAAATACTTAAACTAAATTAAGATTAAATAATATTCATTTGTAATTTTATCACAAATAGTAAAATACGTTATACTTAAACCAATTTATTCAACTTTTTAAGCCTAAAATTTAATACTGACTTAAATTATATTACGATTTGAATTCACATGAACGCAATCATGCCATAAATTTAATTATGTCGTAATACGCGTGTATATATACTTATGTGCATTATGCATACTTGTTATACATTCTTACTTACTTTACTTGTTTATCTTATTAATTTTAACTTGACTTATATTGCATATCTACATAAACATATGCAATCGATTGTAAGTTCTACTTATTATAACAATTTTGTTGTAAATATTTTTTGTACTAAAAATCCATTATACAATCATCATTATATTTAATGTTGTTTTTCATTTTCATTTCAGAAATTCCACATATTTTAATAACTAACAACAAAAGCAAAATTTTTGTATGGTATTATCAAAATTCTAAGTATTTTCACAAAAGTTGAACCAAAAAAGAAAAACAAAAAAAAAAAAAAATAAGGCAAAGAATATCACAGAATTTACAAAAATTACAACAAAAGAAAATATAGCTAAATGATGGATAATGTGAAAATGGCTCAAAAAATATACGCAACGACTCTCTTATAGATCTCAAAAGTTAAAAAATCACAAGTAAAATCACAAACAAAAAAAAAAAAGTCAACAAGAAGCTAAAAGTATAGAAAACATAAAATAATTTTTTCGGATGCATGCTATTTTGGTACATATACAATAAGTATTTAAATATATATACAAATATATACATTTTTTTTCTTTATTTCTAAAATAGTAAACATATACAGGGTGTATCGTTAATAAGCAAACTCATAAAATTAGTGAAATAATTGAGGAAATGAAACAAAATTGGAGAGAATGGAACAAATTTTTAAACTTTTTAAGGATTTAATTTTGAGTGTCTATTTTTAAGCTGTATGATTCATCGGCTTTATTTTGACTGTACTAATTTCAATTCCCTACTTATTTAAATGCGTTTTTCTTCCTATTCAAATTATTTACCCTTGCCAATATACTTTCTAAGCTATTGTAGATTTGACAACAATGACCTTCAAGACAAAGAGTTAGAGACAGTTTAGCGACACATCATTATTGACACTTAATTTCTGAAAAAAACTCAAAAGAAATTTTCTCAAAAAATTTTCCCATTTTAAAGAGTATAAATTCAAAAATGAATTCAAATTCATTAGGCATACTAGTATGGGAATTGAAATAAATTTTGTAATTTAACTTTTTAATAATTCTTTGTTCTTATGTTGTTTGCTAATTAGTGAAATACCCTGTAAGTATTTATAGGTATTTTAAAGTATAATATTATTCTTATTTTTATAAACTAACTAAAAGTATTTATGCACAACATAGCAATATTTTTTTTCTCTTTCTAAAATTTTCTACTTATTTTTTTAATCTTACATATTATTATTATTATAAATAAGAGACTTAAGTTTTAAGAGAAAAATATCTTGATTCTATTTGACAAATTTTATAATTTTATATATTTTGGTATAATACTCATATATTTATATATACTTTAGTATCTAATCTATGTATTTATACTTACTAAAATGAATTAAGGAATTAAAATTATATGTCAACTCCTTTAACTCCCCAAGAAGATGAAAGTTCCTTATTCTCGAAGAGATGAATGAAATTAAATTTTGTGATCTATAAGTATTTTATTTTAAAATTCATCAAAATCTTTTTTGAACCAAAAAATATTCTATAAGTTGCTGCTATATTTAAAATGGAATTTACAACATTTCATTTCTCATTTGACAATATCTGACTGACTGATTACTTTACTTATAATGTAATGATTACTTTAATCTATAGTGAAATTAGAAAAATTACTTAAACCTACAAATACATTTCTGTATATTTTTTACTTATAGATATCATAGTTGTAAACACTTATGATTAATTATAAAAATTCGTGGGAGTAAACAATATTTCAAAAAATCTTCGTAATTAAATCAAATCAAATCACGGCGAACGTAATATGAGAATTATAAGTCATAAACAATAATTAAGTAAATTATTTAATATGAGAATGAAAAATTAATTATTACCCAGCATTTACACGTACAAGTTACTTGCAAGAAAGTTGCAATACATACAAAAAATTTACTAACACATTGAAATATTTCTACTTGCTTGTTTACTTGCAGTTCAACTTGCAAGAAAATTTTGCTGCCAGTAATTTGAGCAAGTAATTTGACATATTGAGAAATTCACAAAAAAAAATTTGTTGTTTTGATTTTTTTTTTTTTTTAATTTAAAATTTTTGAATTTTGTTTTGAAAAAATTAAACTTAGCAAACTTATGGTTTCTAAAATTTATAAACAATTATATATATTGCTTGTTGTTTTCTTCTCAAAGACATTTTCAAAAATTAACTTGCTAAACGCCTACGTCATAATAGCAAGTAATTTGACATTTCGAAAAACTAATTGACAATTAATATTATACAAACTTGCTTGCAAGTAACTTGTATGTGTAAATGCTGGGTTAGGTAATTTATTTTAAATCTAATACCAAATTCTTAGTTTGATGTCCAAATCAAAAATTCCATAAAAATTTTATTGTAAGGTTTTTCCTTTTTTTTTGAATTTTGGCCAAAAATATGAAATGCCTTGAATATCCGGACAGTTGATTTGCGAAAAAAGTGTATCCTGGGTGTTTTACCCGAATTTTACTTTTAAACTAACCATGTTATTATGGCAATACTCAAACCTATGTTGTTAAATGAACCAAACCGAATTTAACATTCTCTTTAAAAAACTGAGCAAAATTAATTTCTGGTCATGTCTTAAATATGTACTTTGTAAAATAGGTCGCTTTTCTTAATTTTTACGCATGTTTCATAAATAATTGTCTATTATGATACGAAAAATTTTATTCATGAAAAACAAAAATTTTCTCAAAAAGAATAATAATTAGTCGATTTTGAAAGTTGAAGCAGTTAAATGACGATTGAATTGATCGCATGTAAGCAAGTCTACTGTAGAAAGCAATGTTGAGAACAATTTGCTGATAATTTTGTTTATACAACTGTAGTAGTTCAGTTGATGGAATGTCCGCATAGAAAAGCGCCTAGTCAATGGTTCGAGTCCAGTTGGAGGAGAATAATTTTTCTTTCTTGACTCGTTTCTTTGGTTACGTCATACATCTGTTCTATAGTAAATAAAGGAATTTTCACTGTTTACTTCTTCCATTTTAAATTTAACTTTGATTAATAAATAAAATGTCTAGAAATATATTTGAAGAATCTAAATACACACACACACACACCTTTGCAATTTAACACTTACACATATAAACACACACATATGATTGTAAAGAAATGTTGTAAAATAGACGAATTAGAAAATTAAAAATTAAAATTATTAATTTAAATTATATGGTCCCATTAAAAATTTTTCACGCTTAAATAATTATAATTTAATTATTTGTTAATTAAAAATGAATATGACAGGTGTTGTTACTTGGGTATTTTAAAGAAATAACACGAAAGAGACAAGAATAATAAGCAACAAAAAAAAAATAACAGAAATAATAAAACGCGAAAAGAAATGATGGTAAAAAATGCTCCATTAGCAACACGTTAGATTGCCTTTTTATTAGTGTTTATTTTTTGTTTTTATTTTCTTTGTGTTTTTTTTCACTGGTTAAACGCTGTTAAATGTAGTACAATATAATAGTAATTTTACAAGTGACTTTTAATGTCTCTTACTTTGTCATAGGTGGCATAAATTCAATTATACATACTTATATGTATACAGTGGTGACAATTAATTATTGGACATTTTAAGTGACAAATATTTTTTATCTAGTTATTGAAATTATTTGTTTCGCTTTTTTTTTTTCGTCGGGTTTTCTTGCAAAAAAGAATTCTATTGGTAACAAACGCAATTAATATTTATTTAATAAATCAATAATTGAAAAATATGTAATTGTGGGGAAATTACAATTCAAATGATTTGAATGAATTGTAAATAAAATTCCAAATATTCTTATCTCAAGTATTCAAATCTTTTGACACTTTATGTATTCAATTCAGTATTTTATATTTTGAATAAGAGATTGTCATTTAGATAGCGATGAAAAAAAGAATAAAGCGAAACATTAAGAAAGTTATAAGCTATATATCAATTCTTGAAAGATCGGCTAATGTCCGGGTAATAAGTATGATTAAACTATTAATTAAAAAAATTCTAGCGACAATTAAATAAATATATTCGATTGATTCAATATAATACGGCGAATTACAAATATGTATGTATGTGCATTAAAAAAACTATTTTGTTATGGAATAATAGATTTTCAATTTTGTAGAAGTGGAGAAAGTCATTTTCTTTGAATGACTTAATTTTAAAATATTACCCAAAGATTACTTAAAATAAATTAATAAATTTTCTGATGTTACTTATTTTATGATTCATATAAATTTTCTGATTCATATGATCTGATCTTTTCGTTTAAATATTACTCATCATCTTCAAAATCCACTTCTAATTAAAGTATATTTTAAAGTTGATGAGTCCAATTAATAAAGTCGATCACTGTATTTATCTATTATAAACTTTTATAATTTGAAAATATTTTGATTCATTTTATTTATATTCTGAAATGACTAAGGTTTATGCACAAAATATCCAGAGTGTGTTGTTCTTAATATTATAATATAAGATTGTATGTTGTATAAATATGTATGTATGTATTTTTTTAATGATATATATGTATGTTAATATGTATTCCATTACTTAGTTGTGTGTTTATGTGTTGTGATATGGGAAATTATAATAATTACATTTGATTTCACATATTAAACAAATTTTGTTATGTTGCCTTTTTCATTATTATTCGCCTTCTTCTTCTTCTTCTTCTTCTTCTTATTTAGCGTAATATTTTTTTTTTACTTCTTGTTTTCTTCTGTTTTTCACTTTTTATTTCTTCTTCTTTCTATACATTTTTTATAACAGCAATTTTTTTTTCTGTTCTTTTTTAATTTGACTTCCGCCCACAACTTTCTTCTTTTCCTAAATCTGTTAATGTTTTTGTACCAGTGTTCGCTTTGTTTATTAACGACCTTTAAAGACTTGTTTGCTTACTTTGCTATATTAGAGAGAAAAATGAAGAAAAAAAAGCAAAAAAAGTTGAATGAATATGAAATGTCGATTCTAATTTTTTTTTTTGTTCTTTTTGGATTTTTAATGTTTTAATCTTTAATTTTGTTTTAATTTTTCTATTTTTTTTTTTTAGATAGAAACATAAAGCGCGACACCAATACCTTAATAATTTAAAATAATAATAAAGAAAAAAATCATTTAATATTATGAGCAGAGCAACACAGTTTTTTTAATTTTAATTTTAATTTTTTCTTGTTGGCTGTGAAACTATTAAATTCTAATGACAAGTATTTTTTTTTGTCTTCTTTTGTTTTTACTGTAATTCCAAAGTTGTATTTCACCTCTTGTAGTCTTCTCTCTTTTCTCTTATTTTATATTTTTTTTTGTTTTTGTTTTTACTTATTTATTTAATTTTACCACGCTTCTTCTTATTTTGTTCATCTCTTAATATTTTTGCTGAAAAAAAAAATACAGTAATGCGAAAATATTTTGAAAAATGTCATTAAGTATAAAAGAAGAGCAAATTAAATTAGTGCCACACAATATAATATACAAAACCAACTACTAGGGTGGGTAG